AACTTGAACTGAATATCAAGACTATGCAACACCAGTGTGATCTAAAAATGAGTGGCTTTCATTTTTTTTTTTGCATTGTTCTACAAGATTATTGGATATACTTACCACTCAACTTAAAAGTGTAAGGAATAAAAGCTTTGTAGTTCAGTTGGTAAATCTCCAGGCCTGGAACCAAAGGTCAGGGAAGTTGGAAACCCGTTAAGACAGACTTAGCCTTTCATTCTTCCAAGGTTGAATAATAAATAAGTAGCACTGATGTAATGAAGGCTGTCAGTCTGATGAGGAAGAGAAGCAAAACTCATTTCTAAATGCATAGAAATCAACAACGAAAAGAAAAGGAGTGTTTTTCTCACAGACTTCCAACTACAGCCAATTTCTTTCTGTTTGTTTCTCTTTTCTTTTATTTTTTATGGGTCCAATCAGGGCTTGTTTCCGAGACACAAATGGTCATTGCAGACACATTCAGTTGACACTGATTAACTAGAGTTCTGCAATGTCCTGCAGCAATTCTCCTCCTCCTCAAATGGGCAAGGCAGTGCGCTCTTAATTCGGTTCCTTCTAACTAATTGTTGCTAAATCAGTTATAATGTGTATCTGTTTAGCATTTTGCACAGCATCATTTACAAGGACTGAACTACTCAGTGCAGAAGCTATGTTCATCAACCTAATGCCACAGACATCAACACAAACATGAGATAAAAAAAGATCATGGTATAATGTGGCCAGAGAGTAAATGATAAGCACAACTCTCATACAGTTATCATTCAGTTCACCATCATATAGTCATGTGCAATAGACACATTACTAATCATGCAAGAATCACACACAACAGTAGACATACACATGGAAGTATTTAACTGCATGTAGATTATTATTATTATTATTACTAATATACATATTAGATATGTGTGCATTTTGAGAACTGACTTTATGAATGGTCCTCAAGGAATTGAACCAAGTTAGGCAATCTTTTTTGCATTACCTTGCAGAGTGGGGACATCTATTTTGTTTTTAAATTTTATGGAAATTAACTTAACAGACTTATAAACAATTGAAAGACTATTTTAGTTTTAGGGCCGGGGGGAGTAATAGTTTAAGAATAGAATTTGCAGAACATTCTATCTTCTATTTCCTTGGCATAACATGTTGACCAACATAAGAGTTTTTAAATTGATTCTATAATTCACTAATATTCATTCGAGTATAATTAAAATTTACAAAATGAATAAAATTACAAATTTTCTGCACCTGTTTCTCAGCATCATAGTTTCTGTATGAACAATACGGCATATGTATGTTCAGCAACGTCCACTACAACATGTTGCACTCTTAATCTTTTCATTTAAACAACAAGAGACAAACAACTTAGAATCAGAAATATTTAGTCTGTTTGAAGAGCAAAGAGGCAGACTGAAAGAACGAACACAAGTTGGAAGGCATCTGTACGAGATGTCAATATGTTCCAATAAAAACAAACAAAATTCTAACACTCAGCAACAGCAGGTAATCTAAAAGAAATGTCTTAGTATCTCAAAGTAAAGACCTAACAAACACAAGAATAACAATAATAATATGGAATATATAAGAAATAATAAAGTAATAACAATAAGAAATTTCACTCTGATCTGTTACTTGTCTAATCCAAATACTTAGCTATTTACAGAAAAACTTGAACTTGATTAGTTTTTATTAAAAAAAAGCCTCTTCTGAGAATATTTTCATTATATATATATGGGGGGTGGTAATACATCAGTAATACAATTTTCTATACTATTGAACACCAATTTTTCAACAGCAGAAAAATAAGACTTTGAAGTACAAAGCTGTATCTTAAAATAATGGTGCAGGATGAGACCAAACTGAGAGAACAAATATCAAAAAAGAAAGCAAAATGACTGACTTGGTACTACTAGTAGACTAGGAATTCCAGTGAAGCAATATGCTGTTATTTCTAGAGTTGTCCAACAGCTGAGAGGGGAGATCAACTACTCAGCCCTTTTATAAACTCATGTCCACTAATTGTATCAAGGAAAAAGTGAAATGAGATTTTTTTCCCCCCCACAATAGTTTCCCAACCCATTCATATATAGATAATGGTCTGACAACACTGAGATAACAGTTTTAGATTAAGGGCATAACTTTTTTTGTTTTAATATATAGAATCTGCGATCTGAGCTTAAAAATCTTAATTTTTGTGCAACATTAACTGATCAAGATTCTAACTAGAATGAACATTCTTTTTTTACATATCAAAGATTAAGACAACTGGAAAGAAAAATGAACTGTAGTTTATCAAAAGTAGGGAGTGAATGACATTTTTGAACTATTATTTCAATAGCAAATTGGATTTGCTCATATGGTCAGTGCACTTAATGTTACAGGCAGATAACGTGAGATCCATCTGTCTCTTATGGAAGCCAACATGCTAAGAAGAGATTTTCCTTGCATTCTAAAATGATAGAGAAGAAAAAGAAACAAAGAAAATGGAAAATATAGGGACGGGGAGATTTCCAGTCCGTCCTTTGTTTAAACACAGAAATAATCTACACAAAAGTTAATACTTCCCAACACCAATCACGAATATACATTCATCCACACACACACTTTCTATCATCCATTCTCATTTCTAAGTTATTTCTTTTACTGTTCATAGTGTGGTTTCCTTCAGTAACAAGTTTCATTGAATAACATTTCAACCTTTGCAGGTTTGATAGTCCAGGTTGGAGAGAATTGCAGTTTTCAAGTTTGAAAGAGAGAGAAAACAGAGAAAGAACAAAGTAAAGAAAGGAAAAGAAAACAAAGGGAGAAAGATGCTGTCAAATTGATTGCAATGAGTCAAATCCAGGCGGAGGTTGCACAGCCTTGCGACCCTGGGAATGAAATCCAGGGGGAGTCCTCGGAACCTTGTCCCTCTGCCCTCCATACGACCGGTTGTAATTGTTGCCACCACTATTCTGGCGTTGTCGTGCATAGCCACCGCCTCCACCGCCCATTGAGTTACCTCTGCCACGGCTTGGTGGCGTTCTCTCTGCATCATGGTAATGGTTGGGCTCAGTCTTTTTACGATCACGATTACGATGAGGGAAATGATGATCCTGCTGATGGGCTTTGCGGCCAGAAGAGTTCATCCTGTTCTCGCTGTTTTGGTAATAGCCATTGTTTTCAGCAGCCATGTGCTGGCTCTGAGGGTTATTGTGATGATGGAAGGGCTTGCTATTTTTGCCAAACTGATCTGAATTATCAGCATACTCTCTTCTACGATGGAATGTCTTCGATCTGTTATTCTTGGCAGAGTTATTATCCTTGTTGGCATGGTAGTGGTCCAATGGCTTCTGGTAGTAGCCTTCGTTATTATAAGAATTGTTGCGCTGGTAGCGCAGATTATTATTGTTATTATTATATCGACTATTTTGGTAGCCGCTGCTATCTTCAGTGTCAGCATAGTCATAGGTGTCACCCTGCTGTGCAGATGCAGCAGTGGATCCCTTCTTTGCAGAAAACTGTCGTTGGTATTGTTGCTCTTTGAATGGGGCTTCCTGAGAGTTGCAGTACTTGGTATGGCTGCCGTGCGATCCGTACTCGGCAGTCATCTCGTTACGATTTGCACTGTCTCTTTTGTCGGAGATTCGCCTCACAACCTTTTCCTGAGCTTCTCCATGATAATAATCTTTGTCGTCTCCCATACCACCATTTCGATACCCATTACTGTTTCCTCTGGCCCCACGCCCACGGGCACTGCCACCTCGGCCGCGACCCCGGCCACCATTGTCATTTTTCCGCGGGTGATCATCCTGGCCCCCATACTTATCGTACCTGTCATTTCGATTATACTTCGGACGATTATTGTAGTGATTTTGATTGGATTCATATACATGTTCATCATGATAATTCCGTCCTCCTCCACCACCACCACCTCTGAACCTGGAAGATCGGCCGTGGCCCCTGTCACCATTACGGCCACCATGGTGTTGGTAGGATGACTGCTGCGGCTGCCTGGATTCATAGTCCCTTGGGTTGTTATCGCGTGGCAGCTGAGCAGTCATTTTGTCCCCACCCTTCTTGGGAGCAGGATCACGTTTGGGATTTACATGTGACGGGTCCTGGTGATAGTTGCCCTGTTCAATTCGATTACGTTTGCCACTATTTCGTGGCTGTTGGTTTTGCAAATTTTCTTTGTTGCGAGAATTCTTGCCCTTATTTTCACCACCACCACCACCACCGCTTCCTCCTCCTCTTCCACCTTTTTTACCCTGGTTACGTGAGGAGCGCTGTGACGGGCCTGAACCTGACTGAGGACGACTTCGTTCACGGTCATCTCGGTAATTGTTGGCTTTGTGGTCGTTAGTTTCAAGGTTCTGCTCAGACGGCAATGGAGATGCAGATTTATCAGAGTGGTCGGACTTTTTATCCTTGGTATCTTGATCATCAGACTGGACGTTCTCAGTGACAGGAAGTGTTTCTTCAGATGAGTTTTCTTTCGTACCAGTAGTTATGCATTCACCCTGAAACAAAACAAAAATAGTATTAACAAGAAACATAAGATGAATCTAAATTTGGAAGAAAAATCAAAGTATAAGTTGATCTTTACAAACTGGAGAGCAGAATGTATTTCCTCTTTCAGTAGTGAGAGAATAAGAAACCAAAAGGCAGAAAAATAAATACAAACATTTCAAAAATTAAAAACAAAAATAAGTGGAGGAAGAAATGGAAATTGACTAATTTAAATTAATAAACCAAGGGAGGTGACTTTGAAATTTCATACACACACACACACACACACACACAATAGAAAGACATAAATTTAAAAAATAAAAAAAAAAGAGCAAGTCAATTTATTTTTTTTTAAATCAAATTTACACCAAACAAGGAAGTAAAACCACTAAGACAAGGGGTTACTGGGTGTGAAAGAATTAGAAAACAAAAACATTATTAAAGAGCAAGAACAATAGAAGAGTAATCAGGAAGACATTAGATAATTGATATTGCATTTAAACTTTTGAAGATCGAAGTTGGCTGAAAAGCATGGAGCTGGAAGTTAAATTCATAAAGTCTATGTACCATAGCAAAGCACACATCTGTACAATTGCCATGAAAGTATTTACAGAAAAGGTACAGGGAAGCAACTTTACAGCAATGGGAAAATGACTGAAGACGAGATGCCAGGTCATGACCAATAATATTGCTGATTATTCTTTAGGTTTTATCAAGAATTTCTAAATATATAGCATGAGCACCAGATGTGGCAGAAATATTCAAAGCATAGACGAATGGTCGACATACAAATAAGTAAGAAAGCTTCTGGAGAGGAAAATTGTCTAGCACAACACAGTGAACTAACTTTCTTAGTAGCAGACCTAGCAATGGGTTCAATATATTTCCACTTCATGTCAGCAGAAAAAGTTAACTTGAGTAGGCGCAATGAATTACTCTTCAGGAGGTTAGCATCAGCTATACTGATTGTTGTGGGCTGTTAGGGGCCAGAAAAAGAAAAACACAGAAAGAAGAAGATAGGTTGAACAAGTGTATTGAAATAACAGAACATATATACAAAATAAGAGTGTTATTAGTAAGCAGATAGAAGTGTCTGTCCAAACTATCATATGTTGGAAGTCTCGCAGGTTAGTATTTATGAAAGAGCAAAAGTTCATTCTAATGTAGATAGGTCACCATAACACTGATTTTGTTATTAGGTGTAATTCTGTATACTTGAAGACATTTTTGAAGGGCTTTTTCAGTTAGTGTAGCCCTAACTATTTTGAAAGCTCTCTTCAAAGTATTGACAAATCTCTCAGCCTGTCGGTTAGGCCTCAGATGGTACAGAGCAGTAGTGATGTGTTCAATCTGATATGTTTCACAGAAGTCTCTAAATTTTTCAGACATAAACTGACTTCCATTATCGGACACTAATGTGTCCACTACTCCGAATCTGGTAAACAGTTCATGTAGAAATTTTATAGTAATTTCTGTAGTTGGGTTTTTGCATCTCTGTACTTCGGGCCACTTCAAGAAACTGTCAATTACAATGAGGTAGTAATATTAGAGGGTCTGTGAAGTCAATGTGAATTCTAGATCAAGGTATATCCGTTTTTGGGCAGGGATTGAATTTAATAGGGGGTGCCTTCACTGCCAAAGCAGAGCATTGACTAATGATTTGACATTTTCTATATCTTTGTCTATGTTTTGCCAATAGACATAGCTGTGCATCAAACTTTTTATTTTAGTACTCCCTGGATGGCCAGCATGAAAATCTTTCAAAATATGCTTCTGGAGTGTTGATGGAATCAAGACGCGTTTTAACACCTCGTCACATATAGAGAAAACGTCCATAGTTTGCTAGTCCTTTTCAAAAATTTTCACTTTTGTTTACTTGATATACTCATCGTGGAGTGCCTCTTGTCTTATTTGTTCAAGCGTCACTGGAAGTTCCCTTACTGTATTACAAAAGGATAGTTTTTAATTCTCCTTCAGATTGAAGGGAAACGAGCACTGTATCTTCCAGTGGTTCTTTGTACTTGAGAATTACTCTTGACAATCCGTCTGTATGGTCGAATTTTTTTGATGACACGTACTCCATTTTAAAGTTGTAATTTAGCAGGATTGTACTCCATCTCTGCAGTCTGTTTGCTGTGTAAGTAGGCAGACCTTTCTTTGAGCCCAAAATAGTGAGTAATAACTTGGGGTCTGTCTGTAGAGTGAAATGTTGACCGTAAATATAGCAGTGGAACTTCACGACTGCGAATATAATCCCAAGCACCTCTTTTTCAATCTGAAAATGATTTTTTTTTCCACAGGAAGCAAAGCTCTCAACGCATGAGCTTTTCCATCAGTCATTTTGTGAAGAATGCATGCCCCTACGCCATATGAACTAGCGTCACTGGCAACAATGATTTCCAAGTCCAGGTTGTAATGTGTAAGAAATAAGTCTGACATCAGTGTTTTCTTTATTTATTCAAATGCCTCCTGGCATTCTGCTGTCCAAACCTAGGGCTTGTCTTTCTTTAATAGTTCATTAAAAGGTGGACACACAAATCATGCATATTTGGTATGAATGCCTGGTAATAATGTGCTAGTCAAAGGAAGCTCTGCAACGAAATGATGTTACTGGGCGCCGACATGTCTTTAATCATGGCAGCCCACTCAGGATTTGGTCTCCTGCCATCCTTGTCGATTATGTGTCATAGGTATCTGATTTTTTCCATGAAAAAAAATCACATTTGGTCTCTTTATTTTGAAACCGTAATCTTGAATCTTAGCAAAAACTTTGTGGACGTAATCCTTTTGTTCCACTACGCTTTGGCTTTTCATCAGAATGTCATCTAAATAAGCGACTGAAAAGTCAAAGCTGCTCAGCATAGTATCCATGACTTGCTGAAAAATTGCTGGTGCGACCTTGACCCCAAACAGTAAAGATTCAAATTTATATAATCCATGATGTGTATTTATACAAAATAGCTTTGAACTCCCCTCTTCAACCGGAATTTGCAAATAAGCATCACTAAGGTAAATTTTTGAGAAAAATTTCCCCCCATTTTGCTTCATAAAAATGTCTTCTGGGCAAGGAAGAGGGTAATGATAGTCCTTCAGAACAGCATTTAATCCTGTCAAAAAATTAGTGAAAACACGTGATTTTTGATTTCTTTTTTACATAGACCACTGGGGCAGTCCATTCACTGTACTCAACTTTTGATAAAACTCCAGTTTTTACCAATCTGTCAAGTTCCTCATTAATTTGTTCCAATGAAGCAGAAGGCACATTTTGCTTCTTTTTGAACACTGGCTGGACATCGTCTTGTAGTTCAACTTTTGCCATCATCTTGGTACACCAGCCTGACCCTCTAGAAAAATTCCTGGATAGGCTTCCTTCAGTTTTTTTTTTTCAGCTTCGGCATTCCAATTTTCAATTTTTTTGGCAGTATGAATTTACAGGTAAATCCCAAAGCTGGAATTGTGTCATCCAATCAGTGCCAAATAGGTTGTTAGTATTTTTCAGGATGAACAATTCTCCCTCAAATTTAATTTTTTTCCCCTGTTACTGATCTTGCTAGATTTTATCATGGTTGACTTACCCAATCTTTTCCATGTTTGCAAGTTTATTATTGTCAAATCAGAACCTGAGTCTAGTTGAAATTCCACACTTTTGTTTATCATTTTTACGTGCACGAATTTCCTGGTATTAGCACCATCTAGTTTGCCCGACCTTGTATTTTTATGCAGCTATTGGTTTTATTTATAGATTGGCAATGCAAACTCTGTTACATATGCAACATTTTTTGTTTAAAAAAATACAATCTTTGTACCAGTGTAGGGCCCCACATCCGTAACATGGGTTAGGGGGCAAATTATTTTGCTTTTTCTTTGTTTCATTACTTTTAAGAGACTTTGTTTCTGTTTGTAGCGTACTTTTTTGATGTGAGCAAAATACCCGATTCTTCAATATTTTTAGAATCCTGCTTCATACTTATGACATTCTTCAGCGATCTGCCGTAGAGTTATATTCGGCTCATTCTCCAATTTGTTTAGTATTCTTCGCCTAATTTCTGCATCTTTTGCTGAAACTAGTCCTTACACGAATATCAAACATTTGAAGTTATTCACACTTAGCTCAGTCTAAAATCATTGCAGTGCTTGTTTACTACTGACACAAAAGTGGTGTAATCTTCCCATTCTTTCCTAGTTAGATTAAGACGTTTCCATCTCTTATGGAAAAGAGATGTCTTTGGATTGAAAAGCTCCATGAGTAATTCCACTGCTTTAGTGAATGTCAACTTGCTAGTCTTCTGGAACAAAATGTAGTTTATGAATTTTGTGTGATCAGTTGTGCCAAGTTTCCTCAGAAGACGTACTTTTTTTGAGTCACTCCAATTTGCACAATCTGTAGTATATAAGTACTCATATCTCCTAAAGTATGACGCGAAGGTTATGTCTTCCTCGGGAGTGTATGAAAAATTCTCTATCATGCTCCAAATGGTGTTTTGCGAAAAAGAAAATTTGTTTTTGATGGGATTACTATGGCTGTCAGTTCTAAAACTTGCTTTTGAAATTCTAGCTGTTTCTCTTGATTTTCCTTCTGGGTTTGCAGAAATAATTTTTCATTTTTTCCTGTTGAGAGAGCAATTGTTTTTGCCACTTCTCTTCCATTCTTTCTTGTAGATGTAATTGCTGTGTATTCTGGTATTTTACAAGATCTAATTTTGCTAAAATTGCTCATACATCCACTGTTAAAACAAATTGGCAATTACATGTAATTCTTTTATGAAAACTCATTTGCCCGTGTTTTAGGAGAGTTCCTTTTTAAATCCCAGTGGTCCTCACAAATCCTTGTCGCCAAGTTGTTGTGGCCTGTTAGGGGCCAGAAAGAAAGACACAGAAAGAAAAAGGTAGGTTGAACAAGTGTATTGAAATAACAAAACATATATACAAAATAAGAGTGTTATTAGTCAGCAGATAGAAGTGTCCATCCAAACTGTCAGGTTACACTGCATCCCGACTGCCTGCCTTCGGAAGTCTCGCAGGTTAGTATTTATGAAAGAGCAAAAGTTCATTCTAATGTAGATAGGTCACCATAACACTGAAGGAAGGCAGAAAGGGAACTCTCAGATAATTAAGAGATCAGTTTTGTTTTGGAGGCATTAAAATTAACAAGCCATTCTTTGCTCCAGTTAACAATTGGCTGTAGGTCGTTTTGGAGATCAGCCATTAATTTGACCTTATCAAACTGATCAGACTTAGGATAGAGACAGGAGTAAATGGTTGTGTTATCAACATAGATACCAAGTTCAGATCTGATGTCATCAGGAAAGTGGTTAATAAAAACTAAAAACAAAGTAGGACCAATGATAGAGTCTTGGGGGACACCCACATTAGTACAGAAGGATCTAGAAGAGTGCTGTTCAGGAAAACTTTCATTTCACAATTTGATAAGAAAGACTGAATCAATTTAAAAATTTGTCCAGAGACAACATAACTTGTGAAAAAGATTGGCATGCCAAACCCAGTCAAACACTTTCAAAATGTTCAAAGCAACAGCCAAAGCTTCATCATTCTTATCTAAAGCTTGACAGATTCTTTCTGCAATACATCAGCAGTTGACCTAGAGAAACGAAAGCCATGTTGCATGTCTGAAAGAAAGCCTTGCATTGTGAGATGCTTAACTAATTTAGCATTAATTAGGGGCTTTAGTAGTTTCCCAAAAAGAGGTAAAAGACTAATAAGCCGATAGTTGAAGGGTCAGACAACTGACACGAGTTTTTAAAAACTGGAACAACAAATGAGAATTTCCAGCAAGCAGGGAAGCAAGACGCTGTGAGGCATTTATTATACAGTTTAGAAAGAACAGAAGCCAATTTGGGAGTACATTTCTTAAGGACTATTACAGGGATACCAACAGGTCCACATTCTTTGCGGGGATCCAGATTAGATATGATGTATTTGAAGATATTTACTCAAATTTATATAAAAGGTTTAGATAAATATTGTAAAGTTTATCAGTCCAAAGAAATAATTCACATTTTTTGAAAGATAAATAAAATATGGCAAATGCTTTATTGAAAATAATATTTCAAAAAGAGTTAAAAATAAATTTTTTTCAGCTTTACTGTGCCAAATAAATTTGATCCTTTGAAACTAATGTGGATCACAGATTGTCAAGTTCTGCTCTAATAGGGATTTGGCTTTTATTTATTTCCTCAATAAGCAAAATAAAAGAAAATGTGTAACACCATACAAAATGTTATTAATCACATTCATTCTGATATAAAGCTATCATAAAAATAGATAAAAATAAAAATCTTGCACAAGCAAAATGAGCAAATCAGGAAACTTTGTGTATTCCTGCCACAAAAACAATTATTGCTCTGGTGCAATTTTCATTAAAAATAAATAATGAAAGAGATAGATATGAACTTTTATTTTACATGATGAAAGAGAATAACTTTTACTCAATCCTCTTTTTTCATTAGTATTGATAAGAGAACTAATTGGTTAGGCAACCTTTCCAACAAAAAGTCAATTAAAAAACAAAAAATCCAGGTTAGATGTTAGCATTTAGAAATAAAGGAACTTGTTGCAGACCAAAATCTGTAGTAATCTTTAAAGAAAAAAAATGAAAATGACTTACAGCAGATATGAGGTATTTATTTCGCTCAGCTTCGAGATCAATCAAGCCACCCTTGACTCGTTGTTTCTCTAGTAAGGCCGCCATTTGTTTTTGCTGAAGAACCAAATCGTCTGACAACTTAAATGCACTGTTGTCTTTGCAGGGTTCTGGAGCTCCAAGCCAAGAGTCTAAGTCATAAGAGATATTTTCTCGGCATACAGGGCACACAATCTAAGAATAGAAAAGAGGAAATTAATCGTCTTCATACAGTGACTTGCAAACATTATTTTGGTCCCATTTTCAGCACTTACATTTTTCCTTTTTAATACATTTACTGCTGTAAAACAGAAACTTTAATTCTACATAGAAAATTTTAGAAATTGAAACTGTATTAGCTGAATAGCTGATAAAAATAATTACCAGTATCAATAGATTAAAATGTAAATATTCCAAAAATTTTGAATAAATTTACATATACATTACAAACTAATTGTAATATTATATTTTAGACAAGATAGCTTACTGTTAAAAACGCAACTTGAGACAAGGTAAATAATTCATAATCTATTAAAAAGAAAATTGTCTCCCTTGAGAAATTTCCTTTCCAACATTTTTACAATTTCGGAAGATTAAGAAAAAGAGGGCGCTTGGCATGAGAACAGTGTGTAAATTCTTTGAATCTACCATATTTAAATTTTTAATTCAATAAGTCTTTTTTATTCATATTAGTTACATGACAGCATATTAAAAGAGAAAAATGTTTGTAAAACCAATGATTTTTTAGTCAAATAATGCATAACAAAAATATCAAGCTGAATCATTTTTTTTTCGAGTTTTAAGATGCTCACTTTTTCATATGATGTCTGCAGTACACATAAAATATCTGATTAACATTTACTCTTTAAAATTTCTCTGGAATCTCATTTTCTATGGTGATTCATGTTGGGCATCTCTAATATATTTTAAACTCCTATCTCATCTGAGTGACCCCTTCAGTTTACATCAATTGAAAGTAGGTACCTCCACTAATTCAAGATACATAGGATTTAAAATGAATTTTTATAAAATGGAAAAGTTTACTTGAAGCTTTCATTTTAGCTTTAGCTAAAAGATTAAATTTACTAGTTTCAGTAAGCAAAATACTCTGGTGTATTTCAAACAGAAATAATATTGATTTTTAATTGATTTTTTTCTAAAATAGCTGATTAGCACCTTTTTTTTTTTAATCCTCTTTCATCACAATGTAATTGTCTTTATTAAAACATCTTCCAAAAATAAAATATACTTTTCGGAAACTTTATTTGAGGAATATTAGCGGATTTAAAGTATAATTAATATGATTTGAAAAAAAAATTGTTTACTTTAAGTTTAAAATAACACATAATAATTAAAGAAAAACAGTAGCTGTGTTTTTAACTGACATTGCCATGTTTTACATAATTGACAAAGTGATGATAGGTTATGACAATGATTGTTGTTCTATGGAGACTTTATCAGTAAAACATAATTTAAGAAAATGACACAAGTGCTATTTTTTTTTATTATTAGAATTTTTAAGTACTTAGTAATCTTAAAAATGTTGTAAAATATTCTCCGTAATCTAATTTTAGGAGTGTTGACTTTAAATCTACTATAGCCATCACTCTTATTTTCTGATAATGTTGTATATGGTCAACCCTACTTTCAAAAATGGGCACATTACATAGTATTTTATATACATAAAAAATTATTTAAAAAATTTTGTTGCAAAATGATTTGTATTAAGCTTTCCAATTTTTGATTAGAAAATTTAGTTTTCCCTTAATAACAATATCACCTAACAATATTAAACTAATGTAGAATTTTGAAAGATTTTTAAAAATTATAAATTTAAAAAAAAAAAAAAAAAACAATTCTTTTAAAAATTCATTATTCATTGAATTTTTTTAATACAATAGTATCCTTAATAAATCTTATTTATAAAAGCAATTAAAAGCTTTTCTAATTAATGTCAGTTTTATTGCATTTTTTTATTTTATGATTCACAGCAGATTTTTTTTGAAACAAGTAGCAGTTTGAAAAAAAATTGATTTACATTCTCCAAGGAGTCCTACTGTAAACTAATAAAACAAATTTTGGGATTAAAATTTAATTTCTTGAAATTTCATGGAATTAAGTAACTGGGAAGTAACATATGTAAAAGAAAAAATTATTTTTACCAAGATTTTCTAAAAAAAAAAAAAAAAAAAAAAAAATCTTCAAAAATAATTTCATTCATTTTGTGAATAAGTCCTGAAATTTAATAAAATGAAAAATACTTTGGTCTTTCCTCTTAACAATAACAAACATTTTGCTGATAAAACTTTGTTTTTATTAAGTTTGGGGCCTTTTTTTATCATGCTGTTTTTTCAACGAAAAAGTGGAGGTACCCAATTGAAAGTAATATGACAGACAATAGAACAGAAATTAGTTACTAAACAGGGGTGAAAGGAGGGAAAAAGATAAAGAGATCTACAGAAAGAATCAAATTAAAATTATGTGTGTGTTATGATGATGTGAAATGTTTCAGAAAAATTACCTGCTGAAATTGTTTGTCAAGCTAGTTAGCTTAGCCACAATGGGCAGCAGATTTAAAAAAAAACAAACAAAAGGGAAGATAAAAAAAAAAAAATATTTTAGTTTAGAAGTGTTTAAGCAAGAAAATCTCTCCAGAGTGTGTCATCTCATGGATGTCCCCAATGTTTACTTAGCAAAGATTATCAAATGTTTACACATGACATTTAAACAATTTACTTTGTAATTATTCCTACAAGGAATACTGAAGATTTCTCAGCTTGACCAAGAAATCCATGTCAATCAGAATAAATTAATGATGAAAATTTGATTCTTTCAAATAAAATCAGTCTAAATATATCAAGATTAAAGTTTGGCTCACATTTTCAGACTCTTAGATCTCATGTTTCAAGATCTATGGTTCAATTTCCACAGCTCATTCAAAATAAAGACAATGAACAATGAAGAATTAATTAATCATGTACTGTAGGCATGACATGGTTCATACAGCAGTCAGAAATGAAAATCTACAGCTGGAAATACCACCATATGATAAAGGCTCAACTGTTCATATTTGAATCCAATTCATTTTTTGTTTTGTTTTATATCTTACACATAAGGCAATCCAATTTTTATCTTAATTTCTAGAGAATGATTTTTGTTAAGTAATTCCACAATGACAGATTTGATTCATTTACGATCTCAGAAATGTCTTTTAGTTATAAATACAGGAAGTAATATTTTGTAAGATTGAAATGTTATTCACAACATGCTAAAGTAAATAAATGTTAGTTGGCTGTAAGAATCTTGACTTTTTCTTTGCAGCAACCAAGAAAAAGCAAGCATCTAGGTGACATGAAATAAATATTGAAAATGAACACATTAAGAAAAAGAGAATTTCATCTTACATCTTTGTTTGGCTCATCACAGCCGTTTTGCAGCGGTTGAGATGCAACAGCTGCTTGGGAATCTCCACTCACTTCTGTCACTTCATTCAAGCAGTGTTGCACGTATCTTCCCAAGCAATGACAATGAAAGTAATGGTAACACTCAGTGCGAGTAAAGCTCTCACCCTCTTCAAAGTGCTGCTGACAAATTACACATGGCTGCCGAGGGATGTTACCTTCAGTGAGGCTTTCTTTGGCAAGCTGAAAAATATTAAAAAGACAACAAACAAAATACACTCCTATTGTGTGCAATATTTGACAAGGCTTTTTTCTATTTGTCTGCTCTATCCTCAATCCCATCTAATCTACAGCATTTACAAAACAATTCAAATGAAAGATAATATCAGGAGAATATAAGTGTCAGCATTACTTAAAATTGTGCATCATTATTTTTTTCCATTTTGAGTATAAAATGTACAGTTTTAGAGTAGCAAACAAAACAATTTCAAAATGCAACAAGCTTCACAAATATTCATGAAGAACATATCTGTCTTTTACAAAGATCATGAAAGTAACAAGGGGATACTGAAAGGTTTTTAACCAGATGAAGAAGAAAATCTGATATTTGGTCAGCTTTAGAAAAGTGGACCGGGCCGAGAACTTTTCCGCATATCCTTGTATATGTCATGATTATAAATAATGCATTGTTAGTGTACCAGTATATCAATGCCATCAGAAGTGATGGCTTATTTTTTATCCACCACAGTTATGTTGCTGATAATTGGCTTCAGTGAACAGAAGATTATTTAGTCTGTGAATTCCGTTTTGTGCATTTCTTATGGCACTAATATTTTCATTCCACCTTCTGTTGCATTGCTCTTGTTTCTTGTCAAAGACATTCTTCCATTCACATATTTACTCTTCTTGCCTTAGATTCTTCCAGTTTCATTTTGAATCTTTTCAGTTACACATTCTCTTATAGCAGCTTTTCTTCCATTAGCTTCTCCCTCTGTTTCATTTTGTCTTCTTTGTGATGCTCTCTCTCTCTCTCAGATCTTCTCTCCTCCTATTACCCTCTTTTTCTGTTTCATTTGTTAGCCTCTGAGCCTCATGTCTCTGGCTTGTGCTCTTATTGCTTCATAGTGTTCCTGTGAATACCTCTTCCCATCAGCCTCCTGCCATGCCTACCCAACATAGGCATAATTACTGCTTTCATTTTAAACCCCTCTCATTCTAATCTCCTTTCTTCAAGGGAATTTCCATTTTATGATGTTCACTGGAAAGTTTCTTAAATGCACACAACAAAGTAAAACATAGGGAATTATTTAAATTTAATTCTAAATTTACAGAGCAAGTTTGTGTTGAATCTTGGATACCAATGCAAAACTAAAATGCATTTAAATCATATGAGAACTTGTAATTATACCTACAATATTAATACTAAATTTATCTCTTAATAGTTATTCAATTATATGTTTAGAGGGTAAAAGTGTACTGAATCTAGGATACCATAATTCACATATTCATGTAAAATATATAGTGACTGATGTATTTTCTGCAGCAGCATTAATAAAAACTCTGTGATATATTTATTACTTGTAAATAATTACAATGGTATCTATGAATCATAGATTACTCTTGTTATTACATAAATCACTTTCATCAGAGTACTATATAAATCATTTTTTGCTCAATATCTTATTTTGTTAAAGATTTTATGCGTTTAACATAACAGTGAAATGGAAATATTCCTTGGAAGAAAAAGATTAGCAACAGGACAATAAAGTCGATTACAAGACCAAGTCGAAGCATGACGATCATTTAATAGACAAAGGTATCTGAGTACTTCACATGATAGACTTGAACAAATAAGACTGCAATCCAAGAAACATAGAAGTAAAGGAACAAATTAATTAAACGTTCCATTTTGCTCAGTAACTAATTTTGTCTAAATGTCAAATATTTTATTTGTATAGATTAAAATGACTAACAAAAGTAATCACTCATGAATTTACTAACTCAAGTTGATTTACCTCCTACTAAAGATGAGACAAGAAATATATAAATAAATACACATTGATAATTATTATATGATTTGATGATTATTCAAAAGTCTGTAGGTCATCATAGTAGTTACCTACTTAATAATGTTAAACTGTAGCCTATCCTGATTTCTGAAAAGCAGTTTGATATAATACACTAAAAATAATCAAAATATGAAACAGTAAATATTTAATGTAATTTAAGGTTCATAAACCTATTAAGACAATGAAAATGAAATAGCAATTTTCTTACAAAAAAAAAAAAAAAAAATTATTAAAACCCTTTGCAAATCTAATTTAATTGTTAAAAGGACTGCTGACAAATAGGCAAAAATCATGGCCATGAATTGGAGGGAGGTAATAGCCAACTAAATTGAGAGCAGGTCAAGAATTGGCAAACAACAGAAAAGGAATTCAAATTCAATTCTTACTTCAAGTAACTCATAGAGCATAGGTCCACCTTTTCTTTCATCAGCAACATCCCTCAATGTGGTTTTTAGGCTGAAAAAAACAAAAAAAAAAAAACAATGGAAAATCTTGAGTATGGCACAATAAATGGTGACAGAATCATAAAAAAGTCAAACATAGTCAAATATCAAAATAGATTGCTACAATATCCAATGAATGAAGCCTGAAAAGAATTATAATCTTCTGTAATAAATTCTAAAATCACAAACCTGTTTAGTTCCTCTTCACCAAGGCCACGCGGGTTTTTGATGGTAATATCAGGCACATCTTGAGGGTACTACAATAGAATATAACATGCATTATCTAAATTATTCTTTAAATGTTTTAAAAAATATTTAATGAAAGAATTACCTGGAATTGCATTATTCAAACCAGCTTAAATCCATAATGCAAATCTTGCAATGTTAATATATGCTTCAAATTAAAAGAAAAAAAATTGTAGTATTTCACCTGTCAATAAAAATCATGATAATTTTGAAAGCAGTCAAGCCTTACTAACACAGACTTGTGAAACTCAATGTTCCCTCACCTTTATTATAAAAATGCAACAATTAATAAAAAATCAAAAATAGAGAGATACACATGCCACAAGCTTTTCTTGGAAAAAAAGATTGTAAATTGTCAATGAAATAATTTCTTGTCAGAATAATCTTACAAAATTGATCGCTTTCAGCATGACAAATATTCAAATACACAAGAATAAGTCAACACTGTTTAAGAATAAACATAAAAATCATTTCATTTCACTCGTTAAATGTCCCAATTATCTCTGTCCTTCCACTACAATAAGTTACCTCCCTTCGATAGAGATTTCCTGTCATTGTAAAAAGAATTAAAATGAATTTACTCAGCTTAGTAATGGACAACAAAGGTGGGGAAATTAGTTCAAGAAGATTGTATTACACCAAGCTTCCAGACGAAGAGAAATTTCCAGCTTTGAAAGTCATCATTCAAAATCTCCTTTTTTACCTGGGCTCAAATACTAACTTCTGCTATTAGCGGGAAACAAGCAGCTATGTCAGCCACAAGGCAGACACCAATAGTAAGCATTATTTTGTCTGCTACAAGGTTCATCCTTGATGGATGCATTTAGCAAGGATTGAACTTACTACTCACGTGTATTAAGCAGCAAGATAATAAACTTGTTAACCAATGTGCTATGGAAGAGAGTTCATTAAAATCACTGAAAAAAAAAAAAAATGTAGCAATTTTTCTCAACATCAATTTCTGACAATCCAAAATATATTTATCTCAAAAAGCCAGAAATAAAATTTGATCAAAACAATACGCTCCAAATATAAACCTACTGACAAAATCTGATTCACAATTAAACTATTTTGGATCAGTAAGATACATTATTATTGTTATTATTGAAGTAGAAGAAAGTGCATTAGTAGAAAACAATATTTTTTTTATATATTCAAGTGATAAAAGCTTTTTTCCAATATGCCCAGTTGGTTTCATTGTAAAAACTGATTTGTATGGCAAGCTTTCCTATCAGATGTTGATAGTCACAAACAACATCTGAAGTTCATTAAATTTGATGTAATAAGACTTACTACATTAAGTTAGAGAAAACATTGGCATGAACAAGATTGTAGATGAAGTGAGCCAGAAATGAACCTCATTAATATTACTCAGCTAATAAATAACATTGCAAATAACTAGTTTGGTTATTTGAAAATAAAACTTTCTATGGACCAATTTACTATTGTCTTTTATTTCTACCAAATTGATATTTGGACAAGCTTCCTTTAGACAGTACCTCCAGATTTTTAAATTTTCATGTGATTTTCTTTTTATGTAAAATTAACAGAAATATTTATTTTATTTCAGAAAAAACTTCCCAGTCAGATGATCTATGAATTAATTATCAAATTTATAACCATGTACAGTGTAAAAAAAAAAATAAAAATAAATAAATAAATGTAAATTTCTGTCTGACAGTTACCTAGGTCAAAAGTGACCTGAAGAAGGCCAGAGTACACAACAACTGAAACAGTCTGATAATAACAAAAATTAGGACATTATTTCACCGGTAAATAATTTTATATAAATGTTTAATAACTGGAACCAACACCAACATGAAAGACTTGTTCATTACAGTGTAAATATTTACTTGCTAAAATATCTAAGTAAACAATTCCAAACCAATTTCATTTAGCATCTCAAATTTCTTCAGCCCATAACTCCAGATCTAATCGACATTTAGTTTAACAAAAGATTTATTCAAACAAGAGATAATAAGCCATGTATGCTCCCTTTTACATTGTAGTTGCCATTTTTTTTATAAGTCATAAAAGACAATTTATAAAGAAATTATTATTATTATTGATGATACCAATTTTCATAGGATCTAATATTCTGGTAAAAGAACAAAAATAAATACAAATATCTTAAAGTTATAGCAAAATCATTTTATTTTTCAGAAATAAATTACCCAATATTTTACTTAAGATAAAATAAACTGCTTTACTTTTAAAACATTATTTTTACTAGACATTTTAAGTGTGAACAAATGTAAAAAACACAGGACATTTCTTTTAGCCTATTTATCATCTCAAGATATCAAACAGTAGATTCTCTCTGATTACAGATTTCAAATAGTTCTACAACTTTTATCATAAATTAATCCGTTTATTCTGAAAATCAGAAGCTCTCAGTTTCGTCTGTCAGTAAATTCCAAATTGTAAAACAGTCAAGAAAAAAAAAAATAATCAATCTTGAAGAATTCCTGAAGGAAACTAAATATTACCTTATAAGTGGAAAAACATATATAAGTGAGAATGAAAGGAGCCCTGAAAAACTAATCCCCCTTCTGCTCAAAATCTATGAAGAAGTTATTAAAAGCATAAAGAAGAGGGAGGACTTACAGTGTTGGGCAATGACAGCACCAAAGTGAGGCAAACATATTGTTTATGGACGTCATCACCAGTGGATGGATGGAGCTTGCATGTTATACATTTCACAGCATCTCTAAATAAAGGGAACAAAATTGAATATGAAACCAAACACAACAAATTCACAAGCGAACAGTCTAACAAGAAAAAAAAAGCGCTTTATTCATACCGACAATAGAAAAGGATATGAAAAATGATGTATTTTTAAAAATTATCTGGACTAAAAGAAATGATTGTGGCCATAAGACAAAGCAGTTGAGATTAGCAGATGTTAGGAGGAAGATTGCAAACTTCTGTTGGAAAACAAATCCAGAAAAAGAGTTGATAAAAAAACAATAACATTTGGAGGTGAGGAATTATTTGTTTTTTTTTTTTATATTATTTTAGATTAATAAAAGTACAACAATTGTATCCTTATTTGAATGAAACGTTGCTTAGTGCTTGCCATTCCCCCTAAAGCATCAACTTCTGATTCATCAATCACCAAATGATGTTCATCAGTAATAGTCATTGCCTTGGAGATACAAGCAGAGAGCTTCATTTTGCAATTTGAAAAACAATGACATTTTTTTTTTTTAAATCAGGTGCAGCACTGAACTATGAAGCCTTCAAAGTTTTGGTCTGAAATCAATGCCAAAATTCAATTGAACCTCCAACTTTCTGATGATATATTCTTATAGATCACTGTCTTTCAAAAGATCCAGCCATACTATAGTCTTGTTCCCTAACCAGTATATACTTTGAGAAAAAGATCAAAATTGATTACCACAGAATAATCAAATATCAGCTAATTGAAGACCTTGAAGAAATTGTTTTCAATCAGAGAGACTTCAATAAACGACTTTGTTATCATACACAAGGAAATCTAAAGTGAGACTTCTATGCATATAGAACTACTGCAACCATGACAGGAGATTCAGTCCACAAGTCTAACCACACTTGTAATAATTAACCAGTTGAAAGTAAATATATGCACTGTGCACAAACATCAAGTGGGGAAATTTGCATACGAATGGATAAATAGATACTATAAATAGGAATTGTTGGTAATTTTTTTTTTATATAAAAATGTATTTTTATATTTTCATAGTGTTTTGTTTTCCTGATGTTGGGCTATAGGTTATAGTCAGCAATAATTAATGAAAAATTAACTTTAGCACCTCTTATATTCCACTGTATTATTGTATTTGTCATTGTTTTCAGTTGTTTCATGATGACCAAACTTTTGACAGTTATAACATTGGAGGAAGTTTGAGATATAATGTTCAACCTTCTCACTGTTATAGCCTATTTTGATTTCATTTAGAATTGTAGGTATATTGAATGTTAATACATATGTGTTTGTTTGTGTTAGGTGTCCCCTTTTTTTTTAACACAGACTCTTCTTACACTGATGATTCCTTGTTTTTTTGATTCAGTTTTTATTTCTTCCATGGAGCAGTAGGACAGCTCTCTGCTTCTTATCACTCCCTTTGAGGTGTTCAATGTTTTGTGGCAGAAAGCCATGATTCTTACTTCATGGAATTTTTTTCATGTTCAGCATCTTTTTCTTTTTCTACTTCAACAAGTATTGCTCCACTTTTCAGGCTTTTAACATTGTTTGACAATACTTTGAAAGATAATACTTTTTGTATCAAAAATAAGAAGAGTTTCATGAATGGAGTCTCTTCTTCTGAATCCAAGATTATGAATCTTAGAAATGATACTCTGTGTGCAGTTGTTTGGGAGTTTTTTTCAAATTGGCCATACAAGTATTATTTGAAATTCATTGACCTGGCTCCCACCCACCATGGAGCCCCACACAGAGATAGGCGAAGGGAGAAATCCATTCCCCTTGACCTATCAGGGCTACCCAATAAGTATATTCACACTGAAAAAGGAAACAGTTTTAAAAATCCCCGAGGTTTGGTACCCAAGATTACTATTAACCCAGGGATATTAGGTTATCATTCTTTTTTCAACATGATTGACCCTACAGCCACCACATTCTCATTCTGGAGAAAGCAAATAAGGACTTGACATAACCAGCCAAATGATAGGATCAAGCCACTCCAAATGCTCATCTAAGAGCCAAAGGAATCAGAAGTATCTAAACTAGACTTCTGAAGCCCTCAATCACCAGGATCCTCTCCAAAGACATTACAGGTTAACACCTATGGCAGAAAGGTGGCCTTATTGGGGGTTACCTACTGTCAGTGTATCCTGAAGCCCCAACTAACAGGGAATCATACAAATAGAAGACTTGTGGTAGACGAAAGTGAAGTAATATACACATGTACTGATGTGGACACCTTTCTAAATCAACTTAATTCATGTGCAAATGTATATAACAACTCAGTATAAACCAATTAATATTAACAACAGGTAAAAATCTCAAGAGAAAACTAAAATTACAGCCAACGTTCAGAACATAAACCCTTAATATGTGATTGAGGAGTTTACTATTATAAGTAGATCTGTATCTCACAGGCTCAACATTCATGGCTTCATCATCACCAATTTGAGAAATTGTTCCCTTATCTATAGCATCATCTCCAATCATCAATATGCCATTTGTATAGCTGTGCTAAGCAGTTCTGTCATTTCAAAGGAAGGTTTATACAGCACAGGTGATTCACAAAATGGCTGATTATGTGATACATGTGTCAATGGATCAGTTTTCACTCAGAATCTTCATAATAGCTGCAATCAACCAGTGTATCATGTAAGAGTGCGAATTCCAATGGTATACAAAAGCATTCAGTCAGTTTTCAGCTGTGGGATCCAGAGTACAATGTTTTTTTTTTTATTTTTTAAAGTATACTAAGAACATAAACAACGAAATATCTATGATAAGTTTGTGACTTATTACAATCAGAACTTTTGTATATTAAGTCAGCCACAAGTACCTTAAAGGCTTTGGATGCTTTAGAAATCTGATTAAACTGATTGCACATCCATTGATTTTAATATTAATAAATCACTGACAGGTAGCTGATCTGTCTGAGTCCCTGGCTAACATGCCCTGGCCACATATTCTCAAATTAAGCCATTAAATTACTACAAACAAGGTCATATTAGAGATCGACTTGGTGGTAGGAACTTTTCACCCAACAGCATGTTCTACCTGCCACTTGATTTTCATGAATGTTTTTAGCACACCTGATGTCTATAACAATATCATGATTGAATAACACATTATTATCATAAAGTAAAGCCCCCCCCCTCCTCCACACATACACACAACCAGGTGCTAGGTTCACTCTTATGGTACAATCTGCATAGTGAGAGAACACATCCCTAGACAATGTTTAATGTCTTTTTTTTTTTTTTTTACTTGTTTTCTTTTACATATACAGATAAATTATTTCTATCCAAACTTCTGGTATGAAGAGTTATCATTATTTTCATTACAGACTATTCTCCTTATCTTTGTTGTTATTATCACAATGTTTCAGCTGTTTTGCTCTCCAGCCTTCTTCAGATACTTGTTGATCTGAATAAGCATCAGGGAATTTTGAATTGAACCCTTTATTTAATTAGTTAGAAATTGTTCTCATTCCACTAACCATGTCTAGGGATATCTCGTCTTGTCCTCAATTTAGTACTCTGCTCAATTGTTGCTTGTTACTGTTTCCACCACAGAGTTTAAGTTTGTATTACCTATAACCCAGCAATAACAAGACAAAATATCCCTAGGTAGAGCCAGTGGAATGAGAATAAATAAATAATGGGATCAGTTCAAAATTTCCTGAAGGTTACTCAGATTGACAAGCACCTGAAGAAGGTTAGGGCACACAGCCAAAACCTTGTGATAACGACAATGAAGTTTAGGAGAATAGTCCAAATATAAATAATGTAAATATAGATGATAAATGATGCTAATGTTTCACATAATACCAATATATATTGCCCCAATTATTTTGTTTCATCATATCAACAGGAAAAGTCATACCCATATGTGCATTTGGAAGAAAATTGGTCAACTGTGCCTGAATGGTATTTCATTTGATGATGCAAATGACATGCCCCCAAAATTTGGTTCAGTTGATTAATCTGCATCAAAGATGAAACAATATCTTTGCAACTTCCATTGATGTTTTGAAGATTGAGCCAACATTAGATGAAATAATCCCTAAAGTACTTACCAGTTTGGAGTAAATGTATAATGGGAACAGCATCTTTAGCTAGAGTGACATTATTTAGATATCTTTTATATCTTTCATTTTTTTTTTTTTACATTCTTATAGACACAGGTAACCTGTCGTAGACCAGGATTTTCCAACTGAACCATTCCTCCATCTTGACCCCTCACCATTCTTTCAGAAATTACATCTCGTAAAATCAAACAATTTTAATGGTGAGGTCTTCAAAGCTTAAAACAAATGAACACACTTATCACTTGGGTTCAAAGCAATTAGGAGCATTTCTGCTGACAAGATCTGATATTAATAAATCCAACTAAATGTCATCAACCAGTTTGCTCACCATTGAAATAAATGTCATTATATGGACACCTGAAGAAAATTTAACTTTATAAAGTTCAAATATTCAATTACCACTTCCAGCATCTTTGCAACAAAATAAAAACCACTATAGATTCCTGCACATCAAAATGTTATTGTAGCTCCACAAGTCTGCCACAGATATATTGAGTAGGTAACCTTTCCATTCTTTAGGGAGGTTGCACATAACCTCATATTATTAAGAGACCTGCAGTACTATTATATCCCTTGATAATAGGAGGATCAAATACATTATTGTATTCTCATAACAAATCAACATTGTTAGCAATCTGGGTCATCTGAATGAATGATTGGTTTTCCCCACTTTTCAACCTATTGTAGTTTAGTTAAAATTCAAAAATGTTTTGGTTTTAAAAGAATAATTCTTTTCCAAATCAATATTATATTAACAATTTTGCCTTTTTGTCTGGTTTGTATTTTGATTGAAATGTTTTAGTGCGGTGCTATTATTTTCCCCATATCCTCTTTATCATGTCCCATACTATCTTAGCTTTTGGTATTCCTATTTATTTTAGCTACATAGTTCTTCCATGAGGTTCATTTAGATTCTTTTATAGATCGCCATGCTTTC